TTTTGTGTCAATATATTGACTGGAAACTTGAGGCAACTCTTTATTTTCCCTTCTTTTTCTTAAATTTAAACTAACCTATGCAATGAACCCAAACAAATGACATTTTGTGCAACTTTTGCTAATGACATTATTTCTTGATTTACTTGTCACAACTTATATTAATTAGGGTATTAATATATTATGATGGGAAAAAAAAATATATATTTGGGATAAGACTAACAAAACAAAAAAAAAGTGAGAAAAAAATGACTGACATAATTATAAATTTGGGATAAGAATTAAAAAAAAAAAAGTTCACCTTTTTATTTCTAAGTATAACTAAATTTTGTGGAATGACATACAAAAATTATCTACAACAATGTTTGGTTTTTTTTTTCATCAAAGTGCTCCAATAAATTTATTGCAAATGTCCCTTACGAAAATTAATGAAATTGCAATAAATGTTTTAAAACGGAAAATTTTCAATCCGGAAAATCTTGTTTAGTGCGGTTGCCGTCTATATTTCCATTTATAAGTTTGAAAAGCGACCGGCTATAGCCGGTCAATGTCCACTATTTTTTCTTTGAGACCCGCCACCGTGTTCAGATTTTATGCAACGCTTTCACATGCGATCGGAAGGGTCCCGCAGCCTTAACGGAATATTGGGTCCCGCAGCATTAACGGAATATTGGGTCCCGCGGACAAAGGTGAATTAAAAATAAAATTTCGCACTTCATTTTATTAAAAAATTAAGAATGGACAATTGGTGTTCGTTATTACTCCCTCATATTCATACTAATAAATCTCATTTTGAAAATTATATAATAATTATTTTTATTTCAATAATAATCCTTTTTTAATTGAAATAGAGATGAATGTTTTGAAAAAAATTGAGAAGTGAATATAAAAAAAGCGTAGTGTATTTGTTAGTAAAATAAGGGTAATAATGAAAAAATATGTACAAAAAATCTAAAACCGTCATTTATTTGGTTAATAATTGATAAATACAAAATGACATTTAAAATAATATGAGTAGTATATTGATGTGTTTTTCATTTATTTTTATATTCATTTTTAATGTAATTTATATTGACAGACAAAATCATACTTGCGATATGGTTATATGTCATTGATGTGGACATGACCAAATTCGATTGTCGGTCGGAACCACCGGGTCAGAGTAGAAACCATTGGGTTCGATCTAAGGGTTCGTTGACCCTGAATTGGCCCGAACATATGGATGGCCTGGTTCAGCGAACCGGTGCTCCGGCCAGTCCGGTTTTATTAAAAAATAAAAAATAATCAAAGTATAATGAAACATTTTTTTTTAAAAAAAAAAATGTCGGAACCCTAGGCTGTTTCCGAACCGAAACTGGCGTGGCGGTTCGAAAAAATACATATATGAGGTCCGAAACCAACCTAGTTGAAGGCCTGTTGACCACAGGCCGGTTTGGGACCTGGCGCCAGATCAACCCATGGCCATGCCTACTTTGATGTAATAGTTTGATTTGATAGTTTACATTTTGGACACTTGAAGATTCGCAGGAAAATTTGGCCGAAAAGCCGTCGATCGCCTGGAAATATTGTCGGTGCTCGCTGGGTGCGTCGGCGTTCGATGGTACGTCCGATGACCCAGTGTTGCTCAACGGTGGTTCGGGGTCGGTCCAAGTTCAGTGTGTGGGCGGCGAGTCATGGCTCGTGTGCGAGAGCATGGGTGCGTCGTCGGGTGTGCGTGACGGGTTGCCTGCGTCACGGAGCGACAAACGCATGTAGACGGGCTCGTGTGCGAGGCTTGCTAGGCTGTTTTCATCGACGGATGTGCTGGGCTGCGGGCGTCGCCAGGACGCGAAAAAGCGTTGGGGTCGCGAACACTAGCTTGGGTCGCGGACAACTAGGCGCTAAAAAAGGCATGTTGTGTGTTTGCAAGCGACTGATAATAGAAGAACAAGCGAGACGCCCTCTATCCGGGTCGCGAGACCGTGTTGGTGTGCGAGTGCACTATCTCTGGGTCGCGAGCAACGTTTGGGAGTGTGATTTGGTCGACACAGAATTGGGCATGCCGACGTA